CTGTGCTGCAGGCCTACAGACTGAAGCTGTTCGGGGCTCTGTACCAGTGGCTGCTGCTGCTGGCTGACGGAGGAGCAGACGGCTGGAGGTGGGGGGGGCGGCCCGGCTGCAGCGCAGACAGCCTGCAGACGGCTGCAGACGGAGCCATGCGGCTGCAGAGGAGAGCGCTCAGCAGCTCGGGGGCGCCGGGGGTCTCCGGACGGGTCAGGACTCACACATTACTGTTGAAACACACCTGAAACACACAACTGTTACACTTAACTTCAAACTCACCTGTAACACCCACCTGTACCACCCACCTGTACCACATACCTGTGACACCCACCTGTAACACACCTGTAACACACACCTGTGACACCCACCTGTAACACACACCTGTACCACACACCTGTACCACACACCTGTACCACACACCTGTACCACACCCTGTGACACACACCTGTACCACACACCTGTAACACACACCTGTACCACACACCTGTACCACACACCTGTGACACCCACCTGTAACACAAACCTGTACCACACACCTGTACCACACACCTGTGACACCCACCTGTACCACACACCTGTACCACACACCTGTACCACACACCTGTGACACACACCTGTACCACACACCTGTGACACCCACCTGTACCACACACTTGTACCACACACCTGTACCACACACCTGTACCACACACCTGTACCACACACCTGTGACACCCACCTGTACCACACACCTGTACCACACACCTGTAACACACACCTGTTTGATAATCGTGTCCGTGTCTCTAGACTCCTCAGCAGTTCCTGCGCCTGATGACCTTGGAGGGGTCAAAGGTCGAGCCCCTGCACGGCTATGCCTATGACTCTGTGTGGGCGGCGGCCATCGCCCTGGCGCAGGTGATGGAGGCGGTGAAGCTGCGAGAGAAATACGGCGTCCAGAAGAACACGAGCGAGGAGGAGCTCCAGAGGAAGCTGCTGGAAGCCCTGAAACACACACACTTCCAGGGAGTCACCGTGAGCACACACACACACACACACACACACACACACACACACACACACACACACACACACACACACACACACACGAAACACACACACAGAGAAACACACACAGAAATACACACACACACAGAGAAACACACACAGCTCACCGCCCACTCTCCATCTGGTGAGTTGAGAGAGAAGTGAGGGAAAGGAAAGAGAGGAAGAACCTCATAGCAGAAAGTGAGAGACGGGGATATAACTCATTGTGTGTTTTAGTTTTCGCTGAAATAAAAATGGCCATGAGCGTTAAAGGGGCTATAACCTGCTCATTTCAGTTTCATATTTGTATTTTGTGGCTTTACTGTGACATGTCTCCATGCTTTAATGTTCAAAAAGGTCTTTATTTTCCTAAGAATACCAACACATGTAAAGTCATCTCATCCCCCAATGAGAATAAACACAATATAATAGCACTAACTATACTTTAAAAATATAAATACTCTCCATGGTTCCCCATGTGGAAAACTGTTTCTCTTAAATTGACCAATCAGATCTTCTTCACTACTAAACAGCCATGTGTCTGACTTCATTAAAGAGGGGACCCTTTGTTTGCCTTTCAGGATGCCGATTGGCTGTGGGCAAAATGCCACGGGCCAATCGGAAATCAGGCAAGGTGAGTCCCTGGACCCCTGAGAAATTATTAACAGAGGGTGGGGTGTGTTTATATGCAGTAGTGGGGGTGCTTGTTTGCATCGTTTACCCCATTTTCTAATAATATCCTGAAACAAAAGGACACCATCTGTCCTCTTTAATTTTGACCCACGTGGCCCAGACAAAGCCCCAGTTTAGAAACCCCCCACCCACACACACACACACACCCTCACACACACTGCAGACAAAGGTGACCCCACCAGCCCCTGATGTTTTCATCAGCTAACATGACGTTTAGTGTCTCCATTCACCCCGAGGGCTGGAATGAACACCCAGTCTGCACCATATGCCGGTCACCCATCACGACCACTTCTTCACATTTCAATGGCTCTCTGATACGGAGCCATGAGGAAACCTGATCTGCTGCATGCATGAGTTGAAGTCCCAAGTCTTTATGAAGCATCTTGAGCAGATTAGAAGAGCCAGGTGTGAACATGAAGGAGAATCACTGACAGGATGTTCAGTAAAAAGGGAATTTAAGATATTTTAAAGACAGCGTTTGGAAGAGAGCCTCGAAAATAACTAACACCATATTAGAAATGTGTTTTTAAGCACAAGGGCTAAGGATTACGTATTTATTGACGTTTAATCTGTCTTTTTGTTCTGGTTTAACAGATTAATTGTCTAGAATGTTTATAAAATGTGTCAAAAATGGATATTACACTTTCCTAACATCATGGTATCCGAAAGCACTGCGGAGTACAAATCAAATATAAACCAGCAAAACAGCAATTCAACCAAAAATAAATATCCTTTTTTAGCTTTAATAATGTCATAAATGATCAAAATAGGTGAAATAGTTCAGTAAATAATTTAATTTGAACCCAAATAACAAGCTTTCCTTGTGGATAATGAAGGAAATAGCAGGTGTAAGTGGCGTGATTCATAATCAGCTTCAGGAAAAAAGGCTTTTATTTGAAGTAGGAATGACTGCTTTGAGGGAGTGAGTTTCAAGTCCTATTTTCCTCCCAGAACCCCCATAATCCCTCACTGGGTCACAAAGATTAAGGCCTTGTCCAGAAGATGAGATACAGTGCGCCCTGGCACTCTTTACCATCACTCTGACACACACACAAGCACACACACACACACACACACACACACACACACACACACACACACACACACACACACACACACACACACACACACACACACACACACACACAGTTCAATGTTTGGAGTCAGGCCCTAACCTCAGCAGCTTTCTGATTGGACGCAGTTTTTGATGCATGTGCTGTTTACTTCAGTGCAGATCTGAGCAGATGTTAGTGGAAGTCGTGATGCAAAGTGGGCGGGGCTTTACATTTGTTAGACATAGCTCGTCATTTGGTTGTTGTTCTAGCACTGGTGATACATTTGTGTTGTTCCAAAAGACTTAGCAACACTCATCATACTGTGTATTATCTTAGCTTTTCTCCTTTAAGAGAGAAGAAGGCCAAACAGACCGGATCTTGAACTCATCCAACAAAAAGTCTACAAAGCGGCCTTCACAAAGCGCACAATGACAAAGTACAACTATGCCACCTTTCACTGCATTCATCCAATAGTCTATGTCGACCTCAGTGAGTCACTGAAGACCTTTGGAAACACTAATCTGTACAATACTTGCTGGCAATCCATCCATTTAAAGCGACATATCAACACAATACAATCCCTAAGCAACATTTCTCAATTGCTGTATTTAATATGTGGCTGAAGAGAAATAGAAAGAATGATTTGGCCTCGTGCAGCTCATCAAATCAACTGTGTGCTCGTGTTCAGGGTCAGGGGTCACGTATAATCCCCTTCAGCCATATGACATGACAAATGAGAAACAATCAAGCCAGGTTCACAGCCTGCAGTTTCAACCTTAAAAAAGGTTTTCTTTGTGTGTATAAATGCCACTTTGGAAGCCTTATGTTCAGCCACGCACCCTCTGACTTTGCTAAATCACATATCATCTTCATTTTATCCGATTCCTGAGCATCTGAAACCTCAGCTGCACGCACTTTCTTATCTTCCTCCACAATTCCTGGCGTTCATTCAAGAGAAAGCCTGTCGAGGGCCTGTCTTCCCTCATTACAGCGAGAAAAATAAAGTGGATTCTCAATTTAGGTCGTCCCAAAGTAATGAGGACGTCGCAGCTCCTTCATTTCATCAGATTAATGGGAGAGAAGAAGAAGAAGAAGAAGAAGAAGAAGAAGAAGAAGAAGAAGAAGAAGAAGAAGAAGAAGAAGAAGGACACAGCACAGCAGTCTCTGGACACTTCAAATTGATTTTCAAACTTCACTTTTTGCACAA